GTTTTTGTTAAAATATTTCAAGCAGCAAATTTCTTCAATGATTTTATTCGGTTATACTTATTTATGCGAAAAATTTGTTCAGTTGTTGGTAGAAGGAGGAGAGAAGGGGGGCGAAAGGGACAAAGGGAATTTTCCTGCCGTTCCCCTTTCTTTTACTTATTTCTTTTTTTTCCTTCTCAATTTCACCACATAAATATATTAATCATTTTTTATTACATTAAAAAACGAATTTTAAATGGCAAAAAAAAAAAAAAAAAAGAAAATTTTTTTTCCAATGACCTGTCACCAAATGACTGATTGCTGTTATCTGGTTGTGCGTATTGGATACAAATTTTCAGTTGTTAGATTGTTCAACTATTCCAGTGGTTTTATTTTTATCATGGCTATTTCTTTCTGTACGATATTTGTTGACACATATCATTGGAGTGTTTGTATGCCTTATTGGTATTGCTGTTCTCATTTGGGCCGACGTATTGGAGGGAAGAGGTTATCCTGGAGGTTAATGTTCTTTCTTCTTTATTTCTTGGTTGATGCGTATCCTTATCGAGTTTGTCAACGTTTCAGCAGAATCTGTGGTAGAATCATAAGTCTGTTGTCTCAACTTGTTTTTGTAACAGAATTTAAGAGCAACTAAAATTGTTGTTGACAAATTTATAGTTAAACATATACTGTTTAAGAACATTAGAAATTATTATTTGAATGCCAGGCTTATTCTTTTTCGCTAAATCAGAACTATTCAAATAGCTCTTCCATTGCAGGCGGCAACCGAGTCGTCGGTGATATTTTGTGCTTAGCTGGCTCGGTACTTTACGCATTTGGAAATGTTGGTGAAGAGTATTTTATAAAGCAGAATAGTAGGATTGAATATCTCGGAATGATCGGCTTATTCGGATCAATATTATCTGGAATTCAACTGTAAGATTTATTTGCCTAAATATGCTGCTAAAACGGATGTTCACTGGATTACATTTTCATTTGCACTGAAAAAAGATTGTGTTCTCATTAGGCAAAAATATAAGAGAAATTGAGAAACAACATTTACTCAAAACTTTCTGATTTACTCAAAATTGTTTTACCAATTTGAATCAATCATCAGACATCGTTTAAATGGCTGGTTATCCAGTTCCACTCCTTGGAAAAATTTTTCAAGCAGACTTTTCAGAGCTTTATTTGAGCGTAATGAACTGGCTAAACTCAAGTGGTCTGGAGTTATCGTTTCTTTCTATCTACTTTTTGCCCTTTCTATGTTCTTGTTTTACTCGCTCGTTACAGTTGTAATGCAACGAACCTCAGCACTTATGTTTAACTTATCCGTGCTTTCATCTGACTTCTACTCCTTACTTTTCGGACTCTTTTTATTCAAGATAAAGGTTAGGAAACTCCTGCACTTAACACCATAACATTCAAAAGTTAAATAGTTCGCTTATCTAAGAACTACTAAACTGAATCATGCTGCAAAGCGATACTGTTACTCTTTTCAGTTTCATGCGCTATATTTTGCGTCTTTCGCAGTTGTTATTATCGGTTCTGTAGTTTATTCATTGCGGGAAACTCGAGTGCGTGATCCCGATGAACCACGCAAACTATGCCCTTGTTGTTTTTTGTGTTGTTGCTGTAGTGATTGCTGCTTTGAACAGGAAGATAATGCGGAGAGCGGCTCAGCAAATGTAAGTCCAGTTACAAACCGAGATGCCTCCCTCTGGTGGCAACAACCTGCACCAGAAGATGAAACTAATTATCACTACTACGTCTTTCCAGGTTTTACCAGCATCTCCAACGACCGACGCTACCGTCCTTACAAGCTCTCCGGTTTCGCTCAATGCAAGAAACGATGCCGTCCGGTACTGCCCTATACATGGCCAATCTACCTCATCACTTAACTACAGTTACGAAACCAGAACTTGACCAAAAGCATGGAAATAAAGTACTTTTTCGCATTCAGAGCGCCGCACCAATACTAAATAATATAGCAAATTGAAGATTTATCAGTGTAAAACAAGAATTCTCCGGACACCTGTGGAAAAAACATTATAAGCCATCAAAACAAAACAATATCCTTACACAAAAAATAACAATGGCAGATCCAAAAAAAAAAAAAAAAA